TTTTTGTCTTTTTTGAACCATTCTGCACCTCCCCTGACACCTTCTCTTCCCCTGATCTTTGAACTTCCTCTTGTCTACAGCTGATATTGTGGAAGAGAGCAAATATAGAAGACAGGAAGTGAAGGGCTAGGGAGGTTATTAGAATCCAGAAAAATGACAGAAGAGGGAAGAGGGCTAAGAATTTCAGAAAAAGATGCTGGATAGTTGCTCATGTAACAAACCTTGGTGATGCCCTGTCTTCTCCCTCATCCATCTTGTTAAATCAGAAATAATCTCACTCCTCCAGAAACTCCCAACTCAGGTTGCCTTGCCAAAGCAGTGTTAGTCTAGTTCTCCTAAGGGAAACTGTACTTTCTTAGAAAATGCATTAGAAGGAACATGCCTTTAAAAAAGAAAAAAAATATCTACTGAGGATCATCAGCTATTTGTGGAAAAACTGATATAAAATATATAGTCCAAAGCAAACAAACATAAGAAAGCATCTCAGGAGTAAGCTCTCTGCACGCTGATCTGTGCAGTCTATATCTGTAATGTCCCCCAAGAGAGCCAAGGAGATACTGAGAAAAATATCACAAAAGAAACATTTGGGCCTGTGAGATGGCTCAGGAGGTAAAGGTGCTTGCTGCCAAGCCTGATTACATGTGTGTAACTCCCCTGAATCCACTGTGGAAAAAATGACTCCTGGAAGCTGTCCTCTGACCTCCACACATGTGTGGATGAACTCTCTCACACACACATGAAATGCACACAGACACATACACAGACACACACACATGCAGACACATACCCCACAGGCATACATATACACATGCACACAGTGATGATAATAATAATAATGATAATAATTATAGTAATAATAACAAATTTGAAAAGAAACATTTTAAAAAATGTTCTTTAAAACTAGAAATATGTTTAAAGTGTTCAATAGATATATCACAGGACTAAGTTGAAGAATTCTCCTAGAAGATGATGCACAAAGATAAATAATTGGAAATAATAAAAGGTGATAAAAGAGCAATTATGAAATGCCCAACATTGAAACATAAGGACCTTAAGAAATAGAGCAATAGGGCCAGGCATAGTGGCCCTCTTGTGACTTGTAACTTGTCGAGCCTCAGGTTCCTAGTCCTGATATCAGTGTCAGGGGTTGGCCTCATCCTATGAAGTGGACCATAAATTCAGTCTGAGAGTGGTTGGTTATTCCTATAACATTTATACCACTGTTGCATGGTGGGCCTATCTTGCAAGGTCAGTTGTTATAGTTCACAGGTTTCACAGCCGGGTAAAGCTGATGATTATTTTTCCTTCTGGCTGCATGTCTAGCACTCCCAGTGCTATGACAGCTAGCCAGTACAGACCAGGCTCTGAAGTCAGCATCAGGTTGATTTTTCCTTGTTTGTTTTACAGCTCATGTATGTAATATCTTCAACAATAGGTTCTTACTATGAAGTTCTGGTGGGCAACCAAGAGCAGGGGCAATGGCCAGTTGCATTTGAGTGTCTATGGAAACCTTGGTCAACAGTTTCAAGTCCATTCCTGGAAATGGGGTTTTATTTTGTTAGCACATGGTATCTAGTAAGGACAGTATCTCCAGGTTATGAGGTAGCTCCTTTTAATCTCTCTCTCTCTCTCTCTCTCTCTCTCTCTCTCTATACACAAAGACCTAGAAGGGAGAAATAGAAACATAGAACAGGATAAAGTATAGTGATAGGTTTCCACATGGCTTTTTCTGAAGGACTTTAGTAGGTTACTTTTTATCCCCATGCTCCCTTCTCTGTCCTATCCCCCCATTCCTCACCCAATGTAACTTCCTACTCTATTATTTCTCCACCCCCCTTTATATTGCTGCATTCTACCACCCCCTCCCAGAAAGCTTCCCTCCAACCCATGGTCATTTATACTTCCTGACTTCTCTGTATTTTCAAATTGAAACATGTGTATCTAATATATAGCAGTCTTTATGTCTTTTGACTAGTATTTGTTTAAAGTCTCTTTATCAGGTGGGAGAACTGCTAGGACAGGTTGTGTTGTTTGGTAGGTTGAATTCAATCCGTTGATTCTCAGTGTATGGATTCCATTGCCAGTTAGTTGTGTTTCTTGGAGACAATAATTGAATATTGTTTTTTTATCTAGTAAGTTAGTCTGTCTTTTAACTAGAGAGTTGAGACCATTTACATTTAAGGTTTTTATGGTAGGTGTTTTCCATTTCCCATGACTTTGTTACTTGTTGTTCTGAGTGATTGGATTATTTGTAGTCCTTTTCTTCCTCTCCTACTAGCATTTGGAGTTTGTTTACTGTGTTGTACATGATGCATCCATTCCTGGCACTTTGGTTCCTCTTTTCCTGTTATGAAATGTGTTCTTTCCTATGCTTTCATGAATGAATTTGCCTCTTTCTTCCTGTGTATGTAGTATTCTTTTAAGTAGTTTGTGGTTTCTGGTAGTGAGGAGTGGTGAGCTTGTAGAGGTTTCAAAGTGGACTTTTGTCTCTTTCTTGTGTGTTTCAGACATCGGTTAGGACTGATGTGTCCTTCAGGTTCATTTCCCCCCATTTCCTACTCTTCTCATTTATTTTTACCAGAGTCATCCTTGTGAGTCATCTTCACCTTCACCTGGAGTTACGCTTCCTTCTATATGGGAGTGAGTCATCTGCAGTGACTGATCAAGACTTTGACCACAGTTTAAATGCTGACTTGCAGTAGAAGATGTCGGTGCCTTTCCACCTCTGTCCCTGATGAGGCTTATGTGGCTCTGATTTGGGAACATGTAGTTTGTAGCATTTTTTTTTTCAGAGCTCAGGGTATCATACTTAAGTTGTGGAATTAGGAGGGAGAGGGGAAGGTGAGAAGTGAGAAGGTTGGGTTGCTTGCTTTCCTTGCTGTGAACAAACACTGGGTGAGAAGCAATTTAAGGGACAGAGGGCTTATTTGGCCTTGCAGGTTAAGAAAGGATACAGTCTACCACAGTGCCAAAGGCAGTAAGGAAGGGGACAGCAGTGTGAGGCAGCTGGCTACATCACACCCACAGGCAGGAAGCAGAGAGGAGCCAGGAAGTAGGGCTGGGCTATCAAACCACAGGCAGGAAGCAGAGAGGAGCCAGGAAGTGGGGCTGGGCTATCAAACCACAGGCAGGAAGCAGAGAGCAGACAGGAAGAGGGGTTGGCGTTATCACACCTCAAGGCTCACTCTCAATGACCCACTTCCTCTAGTGAAGCTCCACTTTCTAAAGGTTCTATGACCTTCCTAAACAGTGCAACCACCTGGCAGTCCACTAGTCAAACCTACCAGTGGCGGGCATTTTATTTAATACTTCAAAGCATAACCAATGAAAAAGGAAGTGTACGGATAGGGATATGGGGAGAGGTAAAGGACGTGCTGTGGGGCAGGTGTAGAAAAAGAAAGGACAGACATGGAAGATATGAGTTATGGAGAGACATGAGCTAAAACACAACTGATCAAATAAAGTTTTACAAAGCACAAATAAAAATAAGTAATGAAAAGTTTAGAAATTAAAATAAGTTTTAAATGGAAACAGAAGGCATCATGACATTGGGATTTCATTGGCATGACAGTCTCTTCCTCCTCTTGGATTGTCTTTTATTTCTGTCTCCACTGGTCCTGGGGTGGCATGTTAGTGGGGATGGTCTCAAGTTAAGTCCTAAGAGATGAGAGGAATTTCCATGCCCTGTCTGAGACTTCCCCACTGTTGTCCCTGCTGTTTGGAATGACCACTCTTTACATATCAAGGCTTCCTGTGACTGAGACTTCTAAGGGTGTGTGGAAGACCTGCCTGTCTGTTACTTTTGTCACTAGTGAGTGACTTTCTTGGCTGTGCCCATTGAGATACTGCACCAAGTTGTGTGGCACACTTTGCCATCCCATGTGGCTCACCCAGGCCATTGGGACTGGCTTCTCAGTGAATAGCTCCTGGGCTCTCACTGAGAATCCCTCCTCTGCTCTCCTCCGCTCTGCCTCCACAGCTGTGCTCTGGCCTCTAGCCTCGAACTGCAGTGTCTGCACACCGCTGTGCTCTGGTCTTCTCTAGCACTGGGTTGCAATGTGCTGATTTCTACTTTTAAATTGTAAGATTTAAAGGGGTAAAAGGTAACTATGTGTTTTCACCATCAATTTTCCTAGTCTAATGCACTACTCGACTCTAGCATAGGAAGACCCAATAAATGCTGAAGATTTGAGTAAATTTATACTGTGCTACCTTCTAAAAACTGTGTCTTCTGTCCTATGAGTGACTATTTTAGCTTCATTTCTGTTACTGTGACAAATATCCTGGCCAAAAGCAGCTTAGGGAAGATAGGGTTACTTGGCTTACAATTCCAAGACACAACCCATCATTACAGGGAACTCACAGACAGCAGGAGCCGGAGACAGCTGCTCATACCTTAGCCACAGTAAAGAGCTGAGAGAAACAAATGCTCCCAACAGGCACTTGCTTACGGTGAGCTAGCTTCATCTACTTTCGCACAGTCTAGGGCCCTAAACCAGGGACGGGTGCTATCCGCAGTGGTCTGGCTCAATTAGCCACCGAAAAAAAAAAAAAAATCCCCTTAGACGTGCCCATAGGCCAACCTGATCTCAACAGTTCCTCAGTTCAAACTCTCTTCCTAGGTGGTGGCAAGTTGATATTTAAAACTATCACAGTGAACAATTACAAATAAAAAGTTAGCTTTTTCTAAATCTTTATCATCTGCAGTTCAGAAATACTCATTAATAGCTCTATGTGAATGACAGAAAAAAAAAATGTGATAGTGGCCAGGGTCTCCACCTCAAACTGAAATGTTAGCCTGTAAAGTGCTTATCTTTGTTAAAGGAGTTCTTGGAATCCATTAACAAATAAATTCCTCTTTATTTTACCATATAGTGTGCCTAGAGATGCTGAGACAACATCTGATGTACTCTAGGATTGCATTAGATGAATGACAGGTCATTTGGCACACGAAAATGCGCTTAATATGATTTCTTCACCATCTTTCTGTTTTATTGCAGCCGGGGCAATGAAAACAGGCTGACTCACAGGCGGCAGACGGTTCTTCGTGAGAAGGGGAGAAGGTTAGCTAATCGAGGACCAGCATACATGTTTAATGATCATTCAACAAGCCTGTCTATTGAGGAGGAACGCTTTCTTGATGCAGCTGAATATGGCAATATCCCAGTTGTGCGGAAGATGCTAGAAGAATGCCTGTCCCTCAATGTTAACTGCGTGGACTACATGGGCCAGAATGCCCTGCAGTTAGCAGTGGCCAATGAACACCTGGAAATTACAGAGCTGCTGCTCAAGAAAGAAAACCTATCTCGGGTCGGGGATGCTTTGCTCCTGGCTATTAGTAAAGGGTATGTGCGGATTGTGGAAGCTATTCTCAGTCATCCTGCCTTTGCTGAAGGCAAGAGGTTAGCAACAAGCCCCAGTCAGTCTGAACTCCAGCAAGATGATTTTTATGCCTATGATGAAGATGGAACCAGGTTCTCCCACGACGTGACGCCAATCATCCTGGCTGCTCACTGCCAGGAATATGAAATCGTGCACACGCTCCTGCGGAAGGGTGCCCGGATCGAGCGGCCTCATGATTACTTCTGCAAGTGCACTGAATGCAGCCAGAAACAAAAGCACGACTCCTTCAGCCACTCCAGATCCAGGATTAATGCCTACAAGGGCCTGGCAAGCCCAGCGTACCTGTCATTGTCCAGCGAAGATCCAGTCATGACGGCTTTAGAACTTAGCAACGAGCTGGCAGTGCTGGCCAACATTGAGAAAGAGTTCAAGGTAGGTTATTGGCAGCAGGGACTGCACAAAACATAAGGACTCAGTAGATCTGTAAGCAACATGCTATGGAAGTGCAGAAAGAGGGATACTGGATTCCTACTAGGTCTCAGCAAAGTTGCGTGTAAGGGACCATTTCAGTTGTATGTGGAAGAATGGACATGACTTTGAGAGGCTGAGGGCAAGAACAGAAATGAAGTAGGTTGAATGAAAGTCCAGCTGTGTTTATAGGTTTCCATGACGTGCTAATTACTGTGCATACTTGGTAATTTCATTCTCTCTCTCTCTCTCTCTCTCTCTCTCTCTCTCTCTCTCTCTCTCTTTCATTGTGTGTGTAGGGCAAAGGTTGACATTGGGTATCTTCCTTGATCACTCTCTACCTTATATTTTTGGACAAGTTCTTTCACCAAACCTGTAGCTCACTGATTCACTTAGAATGCCCAATGAGCTTCAGGGATGCACCTGACTCCATGCTCCTGGTAATGGGGTTACAGACATACATCACCACATCCAGCATTATTAACTTTTCACTCAGGTGCTGGGGATCTGAACCCAGGTCCTCATGATTGTGTGACAGGCACTCTACTGAGCCATCTCCCAAGTCCCAATTTTATATTGTTATTCAAAAAGCTTATTGTAATTATTGTAGTAAAAGTCGTGCTACTGTTTAATAATCTACTATCTACCAGATACTTTGCATTTATTTTCTAATGCTTATTACAACCCTGGAAAGATATTTATTCCTAGTTTATTGGAGGCAACGTGTACATAGAAAGATTAAGTAAGGCCCAAGATCAAGAACAGGTAAATAACAAGGCTGGACTCAGAATGCAGATGTGTTTTACTGTAAATGTTTCTTTTATACAGCACTGTTTCTGTGTTCAGTGCACAGTGATAGATGCCATTAGGTCAGAAAGATGAACAAATCACAGCTTGACAGAGAGACAAATGTGTACAGGAATAAATATAACATAAAACAAAGCCTGACTACTAGGTAGAACTAGTTTTAACCAATGTGCTATAGAAGTTCTGAGAAAGACATATTAAATTCCTACAGGGTTTCAGCCAAGTCTCATACAAGATGACATTTCAGCTACATGTGGAAAGGTGAACAGGATATTGGAAGACTGAGGTGAGAGAAAAATGCTTTAGGCTAAGGTAACAGCAAAAGCAGAGTCTGATAGAGATGAAGGGACTAGGCACTTAGAACTTTAAGCACACTCCTAGTAAAGGCAGCTGGAGAGAGAGGGTGTCGTAGCCAGCCACTGTCCATGTGCTCTCTGCTGCTTTGGGGGAAACTGGAGCCCAGCTTTCCAGAGAAGAGCATCCTGAACACTTCTGAACTTCCTCCATGGATCATCTGATCTACCTGATTGCGTCCATCTTTTTCTGCCATGCCTTGTCATTATTGTATGTTTATATGTTCTTGTGCACGTGTGTGTATGCATGTGTACACATGCATGTGGAAGCCAGAAACTGACTTCTGGTGGTTTGGTTTGAATGAGGTGCCCCATAGGCTCAGGTACTTGAACACTTAGTCAGTTGGTGGTGCTGCTTGGGGAAGGTCACCGAGTCCCCAGGAGTTGTGGTACTACTGGGGAAATCATGTGAGTGTGGCAGGCTCGGAGAGTTCATAGCCCTGCCGCATCTCCCTTCTCTCTGCTTCCTGTGCCTGTTTGAAGGTGTTGGTGGACTCATTCCTCTGGAGCCATAAGCCAAATAAACTCTTCCTTCTGTAAGTTGCCTTGATCATGGTGTTTTATCACAGGAACAGAAAAGTAACCAAAACAGGTGTATTTTCAGCTATTCTCAACCTTATTATGTTTTGTAAGCACTTCTTTCTTTATTTACTAATTTATTGTGTGTGTGTATGTGTATGGGCATCCGTGTGCCTTGGCAAGGGGCGGGGGCTCATAGGACAATGTGCAGAAGTCAATTCTCTTCCTCTGTCACGTAGGTTCTGGAGATGAACTCAGGCTGTCAGGCTTCATGGTGCCTTTCCCTGATGATCCATCTCTTCAGCCCTCAATTTTATTTTTCTGAGACAGGGTTTTTCACTGAACCTGGAACTCTCTGATTTGGCAAACCTGGCTGGCCAGAGAGCTTAGAGAATTTGCCTGCCTCTGCCTTACAGCATGGGTTACAGGCACATGCTGCTTTGCTTAGTATTTTTATGCTGAGGTTGGGGGTTGAACTCAGGCCCTCATGTTTACATGGCAGGGATGTCATAGACTGAGCTGTCTCCTCAGCCTCACCCTTACCACCTTGTCATTATTAACCAAATACAGCTTTGATCAGGTCTCATTGATAAAATATAGTGTTTTGTGTTCTCTAGTCCATGTGCTTTGAGAGGCTGCAACCTATACTGCACACCTTTGGAGACTGCAGTCCAGTCTGTCCTAAGTAGCTCTCTGGTGACACAGTCACTGATCATGCGATGCTGTATTCTCCTCTCCCATGGATGCCATTTGTCCATCTGCCTGTAGGTCCTGTCTTTCCAGGAAAGGGAGGAGAAAGAAAATGGCTACAGACACTCTTCAGTGTATGCTTGGCTCCTAGGGAGGACGCAGGTGCTTTTCCTCCAGAATGCTGGCAGCTAGAACTGCAGTCAAATGGCCCTTCCAACTGTTTTAGATTCTTTCCTGCTTTTTTCTGGACTCCTAGGATTCAGGAATTCAGAGAACTTTGTAGGTTCAAGTTTATGTATTTTCTTTGAAATCTGGTAGATGTCAATCACTAAATAGTACTTTTATTGATTCTTTGAGAATTTCATATGAAGTATTTTGATCATATTCAGACCTCTCCCATTTCCTCTCAGATCCCCCTCATCGCTAACCCTCACTTCATGTTCTCTATTTTTTTTTAAAGTCTTTTGAGTCCAACCTATCCAACCACATACCCTTAAAACTGTCTTTCTGCATACTATACTCCTTGCAATTAAAAACAACAACTCTTAGATTTGTCCATCAACTTATGCAAGGGAATCTAAGTGATCTTTAATGATCTGATGCTCACCATCAGCTAAGCTCAATATTCAGGACCGCCACAGTGCTCCTGTTTCTTCTTGAGCTCATTATACAGTCTGGTTTCCTTCATAAATGTGGTTCCTAAGATAATAGCTTCTTATGGTAAAGTTTGATAAGTACCTATATGTAGTATAATATGTAAGTAGAAACTTATCTACATAACACACACATACACATAAATTTTAGAATTTGTTTCCTGTGATGATAAGGTTCTAGATATTAATGTTTTTATGAAAAGAGTTACCGTTATATCTATTATTAGTATACTTGGTTAAAAGTATGTAAATTGAAGCTGGTTATTCCAAATAACAAATACATGTGAAATGGTCAGTTTTGCTTATCACCTTGATGCAACCTGGAATCCTCTGGAGAAAAGGATTCTGAGAAGGCGTGTGAGAGATCACCTTGATTTCATTAATTGATTTGTGAAGAACAGCCCACTCTGGTAGCACCACTCCCTGGACTTGGGGCCCTGGACTGTGTGACCGTGAAGTGAGCTGCACACTAGCTTGTAACCATTCTCTGCCTCTTGACTGAAGATATGAGCAGCGTCTTCAAGGCCCTGCTGCCTCGACTCCCCTCCATTGTGGACCATACCTGGAGCTGTGAAGAAAAACAAACTCTTTCTCCCTTAAGTTGCTCTTATCAAGGTGTTTTATCCCAGCAACAGCAAAACAAACTAAGACCATAAGGAAATCTTGAAAAATAAAATTCAACTCTGTGATTTGCAGTTGTTATTGGGAATGCATTTTTAGTAGAATTAATAATTATTTTTGCTGTATTTTAACACAAGAAAAGATAAGTCGTGTGTAGCTTATAGCTACTTAGCATAGCAGCCAGTATCCTATTTTAATGTTGTGACTAGGATAGAGAAGATATTAAAGATTTTATGAAATAAAATTTGATGGGATTGATTATAGTTAGGGTAACTATTTCTTGATATTATTTAAGAACTGTCTTACTGAATCTGGAAAAAAATCATATAAAAGTGAAATTTTCTGAGTCCTGGAAAATATTCCATATCAAATTTGAGTCAGTTTCACTTAACTTTTATGCTTTTCCCATTTGAGATGCTTTTCTTTCTGATAAAGTATATGTTTAAAAAACAAGTATTAAGGGGGCTGGAGAGATGGCTCAGCAGTTAAGAGCACCAGCTGCTCTTGCAGAGGACCTGGGTTCGATTCCCAGCACCCACATGGTGGCTACGAACTGTCCTTAACTCCAGTTCCAGAGGAATCTGAAACCCTCTTCTGACCTCTGTGGCATTGCACGACACAGGTGCACTCACATACATGCAGGCAATACACTCATACATAAATAAATAATAAATAAATGATAAATTAAAAAATAAATACATAAATAAAAATAATAAATAAAATATTTAAAAAAATAAAAATAAAAAGTATTAAGAAAAGTTGGGGAGGCACTAGATAGCTCAGCCAGTAAAGGGGCTGCTGCCAAGCCTGATGGCCTGAGCTCCATTCCTGAGGCTTGTATGGTGGAAGGAGAGAGCTGTGTTGTCACCACATCAACGTTATACTTATAGTTATGCTTGAATAAAAAAGCCCGACTCAAGTTAGTTTTTAAAAGTGGGCCTACCTCAGAGGACACGCGTTCCCCCCAGCTGTCTCTTGGAACTGTCTGTGCTCAGGAGCTGCGCTTCTGAATCTGTCTCCTCCATTCTGGCCTCACTCACCCTTTTTATTCAAGCCCATTTCTCCAGCCTCACTTGGGGAAGCATAAGCTAGAATCTGTCCTCATTTTAACAGATAATCCAGCCTTTTCATCCCTAGTTCTAGAATAGCTCATGCACCCAAGGTCAAGCTTCCTTTCCAGTCTTCTCTGTGTTCAGTGAAGATGGCAAGCTGTCCCCCAACACTGATATGTCGGTTCTCAAGCACACACACACTAATTCATTATCTTTTAGGTAAAGTTCCAAATTGAGGTTGCCAAGATTAATTAAAAGTCACTAGTCCA